ATGTGCTTCTTAGACTATAGTGATGGATTTCGTAGTTGGCATAGAGAACAACTTGGTCCAACCCGTACCCGTTTTAATCACCCTAATCGACGGAAGCAGTTTAGGAAAACAATTCAATTTTTGTAACAAAAACAAACTGGCACTGTGCCTTCTCTGTTATCTTCCCGGTTCATTACAGAAGGGAATCCTTGGAATGTGTAGATCAGTCAGACACATTTTGTGGGTTGCTCAGGGCTGACATTGTCCGCCACATTGAATCACAGCGCACCACAGGTTGCTATTAGCCGGCTTATAAGATATTCCGCCTGATTCCCCTTACCTCATACAATACACCTTATTGAATGCAATCCTACCTCAACCACTCACTGTAATTATCAATACCTGTATGCAAGAACAAAAGCTTACAGTTCCCCATATCATCCAACTTTTATCGCCCTTCCACTACTCCCGACTGCGCGTTTCGTAATTTATCCTGAGCTCCAAGTTAACTCTGAATTTATTGACGATTCAATTTTCTTTTTCCGATTCGTTTATTTGCTTGACACGTGGAGGGGGGTGGAGTGGCAAGAAACTCATTTCCTGATTTGATGTGACTTGAAGCGAGTTGTAGAAGGCACGCGACAAAAAATGACACAGTGACTTCGCTATGCGAAATTGTGTTCCGCCTTCTAGCCGATCCCCGAGTGAGCGGGAAAGAGGACTGTAAGTTGACGTGAATGGTACTAAAACTGACAATAGGGATTCCCAAAGAGACCTCGACCGACAGTTCGATGCAAATCATTTCGCCGGGGAATGTATTGCACACGCACAGACGCTCAGGTGTTCTGATTATGCAAGAAGATAAAAATAGGAAGACGTGAGGATGAAACAAGAGCAGCGTACTGCGGGTTAGCAAGCAGCCGGAAAAAAAATCGGTCTATTTGCTCATTCATTTATTCATCCATTAACTCCTTTCGCAGTTCAGGTCATGGTGGGTGGTTCACACATATCGAGTGGTTTAAATCTAACTACGCCCATCAATCCTGGCCTCGCGTACAACCTTATGGTCTATGTGCATGTTAGAGAGAGTTGTCTACCTGTTCTCGGACTTGATCGTTAGTCTATTGGTTTGCCTACCGGTCTAAGTGCGTCAGCGCGTTCGTGCGCGATCCGTTTGCTTGGTTCTTTCATCCACGACTCGTTCAGTCCGGTTTGTTTGTTTGTCCATTCGTGCACGACTGGGGGCTGACAAGCAACACACCAGCACATCATTTCCGAATTTCAACTAACCCATCACTCGACGCGAGAGTGAGGCAGACATATGGCCGAAGACAAACTCAGCCCTGTCTGTCTTCCCACGGATGATGAGGCTGTGACGGTGGCGGCGGTGGCGGCCGCCGCTGCGTCCCCCGGAGTGATGACCCGTTGGACAAGGGTGTGTTTATATGAGCATTTGAGAGAGTGTGAGTGATAAAAAAAGACACGAAAAGAGCGAATGCAAGCGAGAGAAAGGGTGCAGAAGCAGTTTGGCTCGAGTAAAAATCGATTCTGAATCTTTTGACCCTGTGCTGTTGCTGATGATGACGTTGCTGAGTACGAAAAAGATTCAATGAATCGGTCGGTATTCGGTTTGGTTCGCTTCAAAAGAATGCGGCACACTAGCGCCCCCTGTAAGCTACGAATGGCTGGTGTGATGAAATGTTGGACTGACCATTCAGGGAAGCCTGATAATCCCGCTTTTAGCGAAACATCCACGATGAAGTAGCCTACTGGTGTGTATGTATACCAAAATGGAAAAAGAATATATTGAACGGTAATTTCTCATCAGAGCCTATAGATAATTTACCTATAACCATCCATTCACACAATCCTAAATCATTTAGGTGTACTTACAACTAGAGGCTAGGATGCACACAAGTTGAACAAATCGTAAAAAATCACCTGTTCAGCATACTTATTATGGTTAATAAAAGAAATCCGCTTGCGGTTTAATAGCAAAACTTGAATCGATGTGATTGTGTGAACCTCACTGATCTGCGAAGTTAGTTGTTGATATACCTCACAATTTACGTGGTCGATATGTCAAATCCGTGAACGTGCAGGAGCTCACTTCGGACTCACTCATAGTTAGAGACTGATAGTTTGAGAGCAGATATATACTGGCAGCTGATCGATCCCTCGCTTCTCTGTCTTTCTCTTTGTCAGGTAATCAGCTCTGCAGTAAAACAGTCTTTCGGTCAATTGACTACCTAATCGTTTCACCGATTGATCAGATATTGTTTCGTTTATTTGTCCTGGTGCTTATGCTTAAAATTGAAGAAAATTTAACGGACAGCAAATAATTTCACCTTTGAATCTTTAAGCAATACCCGGTCCACTATCTATTAACAACTTGTTTGTCAAGTATAACCAATGGTGTACGGGTAGAATGACTGAGTATAAGAGGTGTCCAAAACAAGGGGAGCACAATGGTAATCAAGTTGTACCGATATTGGACGATGATTCCCTCGTATAAAAGAGGTCAGAAAGGAAAGTGTCAGGTAATTTGGAAGTTTGTACGAAGTCGACTGATAGGACGTCCAACCAACAAACACAGGCGAGATCGGTCCACTACATATATATAACAAACGGGAGTAATATTGATCACCTAGACTTGACAGTCATCGGTTAACCTCAAAACCATCCAAGATAGTTGCTATTCTTTCGGCTTCCTTCTTTCTATCAAGGGAAGATATGGATTTTAAATTGGAAATGGAGAAATAGGAGATTAGTGACAGTACTGTGAAATGCATATCCAAAAACAATCCCCTAATAGATGGTGGTCAAGTGACTAAGGTTATCAAAACAGCAACCTGAATGTCCTGAGTTCGAACCTCGCCACTGCGGCACATATTTCCCATTTCTGTTTCTCCCCAGACAGTGTTTGTATGGCCGCAGCTCTTTTCATGAAGGTTGAGTGTACTCTTGTACACCCAACAAAAAAGGTAGAAAAAATATAGAGAAATAAATAAAATGTGTAGCTTGGGTTCAACACTGGTCGGCAGCTGCAAAATGGTATGCATATTCTCGCATAGCTTAAATTTTAGTTCAAGATAAAACAATTTAAAAATGTAGGGATGAATGAAAATATGCGTGACCGATTCATAGTCAGGAAAATGTGTTTGAATTCAGAACAATCCATATCCGTAGGTCTCCAAAGCAGATGCACAGGATACTTTTACATATTATTCCTAGGTTGAGTATGATTTCGTCTGCACCTTTTTCATACTAAAACAATGAATTAAGCAATACCTAATCCGTTACATTTGGTAATCTCGCCCCTGCATTTCTCGTCTATCTATCCATTTCGACATCTTATCTTGTATTTCCTGCCAATGAAACAATATCTGAATTCCTGAAATCCCAGCCACGGCCGACTTCTTGAATCAAACTAGAACAATTCATAAAATCCCGGGGTAAGAATGCGTCATTGTCATACAGATTTCATCCGGTTTCGAACCAAATCAACAGAAGACAGAGTGATTGAATTCTCGTTATGAAAATATCCCCGAACCTGCTCATAGAATATTTCCTCTCCTTCTTTCAGGCTGAAAATTTCAATCAAAGATTACCGGTTTGCGTAAAAGAAAAAAGAAACAGAAGAGCACAACGTTTACACAGAAATGAGTTAATTTGCCTGGTACTCATCAAACTAAATCAATCAAACTAAAAAACATGCCTGATCTGCCATGTTTGGCAAATAAGGAAATAAATTGTCCTTAGTCCGCCCCCCCCCCCTATGGCGGAAAGAAAGCATTCAATCCAAGCCGCTATCTGAAGTTGGCGATATAAGAATAAACAAACTGCTGTAACAAAAATCAACGCTATAGAACATCGTGGTCAAATAAAGAACGAACGAAAGGTAAAGAGTGTCAGCATATGCTATCTTCTCGTCCCCAAATCTCATGGGATTCCGGCTCATTAGCCTGTTATCCCAGCGTCCTCTTTCTCTCTCTCTCTCTCCAAAAACTGGAACTCACAATAGTCACACGGCATCCACCGCAACCACCAACACCATTACATAAACCATCACCACCAATACTCACAGCTCTTCATAGTAATTTTACTTGATTCGATCAACATCCAACCCGAAGAACAATCGTATCCATTTTCCTGTGAAGTTACTCACGTGTAATAAACATTCGGTATTTGTGCCCCTAGATCACGTTGTAAAACGAAATCAACGGTTTGATCCCACGTAAACAAAATTTAAAATGTGCCAAATATTCAAACGGTTGCATAATATGTGACGAAACTAGAAATAACACTGGCCCCGTGAATTAGGGTCTCTGTGAGGACTGCATTGTGGAGAGATTGGATTCACTCAGATAAAGGAAAGGGTACATAAATGAACTAACAAAACGTATAACTTTTTACCGTTCTGTTTACAAGAATCCCATAAAAGTACACATTAAAAATTAATTCTTTGGCGGTGGTTTCATGGTGAGGATACCATGATGATAAACATATCTGTATGCCTCGTGAAGTCCTAAATAGATATATCAGTTGTCCGGTGAAATGGTATTGCCAAACCTATACTCAGCTGCAAGTGGTCAAAAGGTAAAGATAAGTGGAAAATGGTATGTAAATATACAGCCGTAAAGTGGAGTTGAAGATCCAAAATGCGTGTTGGTCACCATACGGGATAAAAAGAGGACGCTAGGACGAAACAAGATTGCAAATTTCGCACAAGAGTATAAATGTGTTCGAATTATGAATAGGATATGAACTTTTGAAGTTCATCACAAATATTTGATCCATTGTCTCAAATTATTGAGATTGAATAGTCTTAGAGACGGTTTGATTTTTCCTCAGCTGAAATCACAAGAACCACCTTGAAATCAATAGTTAAAAATTATCCTTANTACTGAGAGAAGCTATGCATCTAAGAAGAGCCGAATTATTGAGAGACATAGTATATGTGTAAATTTCCAAATGAAGCTAAGGTAACCGGAATCACCTTGAACCTGGAGTGATGTACTTTATAAAACAAGCATTTGATACGGTATCACGTCATTGAAATCAGTGCCAGGACTACAGAAATCAGACTTACCGGGTTTTGCGACTTCTCGAATGTAGCCAGAAAGTGTTCGCGTGTGTTCCGGTTGCATTAGCAAACAAGATATGGTCGTACACCGTCGACCGATTCCGGACACGGCAATGTCCGACGCAGTCGGCTTATGTGCTGACGAATCGCCTAAAACACTTGCCTGTTCACTTGTCACATTCACGGTGGGTGGGCACATAAAGAGATTGCTAAGATGCGTTTCCGTATAACGCCAGGTCATTTCCAAAAATCGACCAATCACTTGATGTCTTGTGCTTATTTCACGATGATCACTCCATTGAACCACTTTTTTTGTGCCCACAATGCCTGACGGTTTGGAACCGGTGGGTACGGCATTCGTAGATACTTCTACCGTTTCTTTCTCAATATGCACGGGGTCATGAGAACTCAAAGGACAATTCACGGATCCGGTGGCCACATATCGATCGAGAGTACCAGCTCTGTGCAATGTTTCCTGGTATTGTGAAACCGCATTCTTTTTTGAGCTAGATCCCTTACGAACGCATCGATTGGTTCGAGCGGAAACAGATACAGTTTTGTTCGTGGATGTGGCCCCAGATGAACTGGAGTCTTTTTCCACCGACACACGTTTCACCAAAATTCCGTGCACCCCTTCAACGCTCACGGCGTTAGACGAGGATTCATGACCTGGGGTGGACTTGGCAAAACGAGAACGCTGATTTTGCCTATCCAATTCCGTTTTCTTGGCTTGAGCTGCGGCTGCTGCACTGCATAACAGCTTCAATTTTTGCACCTGGTAGAGTAAATTGGTGGATTGAGACAGGACATCTAGAAACCCCGCAATGAATTCGTATTCGTTGCGTAAATATTCTGAGGCAGTATGATCATAATTTTGGTTCAGGTACACTCGAAACGCTTCGACCAGTGTCAGGCGTCCAGATTGAGCGATACTGACAGTTGTGGGCTCCGAACCACCTGCACCATCCTGACGATCAAACGAACGCACCGCAGATAGTTGCTGATAAATTGCATGTGCCAAACGTATGGATCGTTGATAGGCTATTAACGTAAACAAGTATCCCACGGATATGGAGCATGCCACAAGCACGGGATCGTAAAGTAGATCCGAACAACCTAATTCCTCGAGAAGCAATCCGGATTTGACCCGATTGATATCAGTTCCCATTAGCATGTCACAAAGAGATTCACTATGGGCAGTTCTGCACGCAATCTGCAGATGTCTATTCAATATATCAAGTTCCTCAATACCCCTGGTCATTTCCCACAGTTCACCATGTGTATAGCGTGTAATGTCCGCATGAGCAAGTAGAGAGAGTCCACTATATACTAGATGATGAGCGGATAAAATTGTGGCAGAAGTGAATCGGTTGGTATCCACGGTGACCGTTTGGGTGGGAGAATGAAACAGACTGAATGTGATACCATTGGTAGGATGTGGGAATTGTTGCACTAGACGATTGGTGTTTTGCTGTTCATGGAAGAAACGTTTCACTTGGGTCAAACACTGTCTCAAACTTTCGCATATCACACGTAGCTCACCTAGTTGACTCGGGTTTGACGCGATCGGAGTACGAAAATGACTGTATGGATAGACTGAAGCGGAAGCAGCCAAAGCCGACGGTGAACATGTAGTTCCCAACGGACCGGCATGCTTTGTCGTAACCAAATAATTATCAAATCGTGTCGAACGACTGCATGTTGTCGCAAGGGGTGAAGAATAAGCACGTGAATAATCGGACAATGTGGCCTCAAGCAGCTCGTATTCTTTCAGAACAATATTGTCTGAATGTGTGGACAGATTGGCCAAACCGCTACCCAATTCACTGTACGTGCTCGTCAGACAATCCAACTGAAATGTGCGTCGAGCTAATTTACAAAGTCTATGCAACCGGGTCAGTCGATCGAGGTGG